TTGTTGCATCCCCATGCCAACTCCTATATACTTCCTTAAAATGGGTATTGTAATGTGGTTTTTTCTTGCGTCATAAAAATTATTTTTGGTGAAGTGATATAAGTGGTAAAAAGTGTTGAAAATTCTAAATATTGTGTTATAATAATTTTCTGTGGAAAACTTTCATTGATTTGTGCTTTATAATAAATAATTTTGTAGATATTTCCTCACTGAACAAATTACTTCCCACCCCCAAATTATCTGTGTCTATGGGATAATTAAATATCAAATGTTTGGAGGCATTTTTACATTATCTACATGTTCTCTGAATGATACAGTATTCTCTGAATGATAAGGTGCCCTGGAAAATGTGAGACAGTCTTTTAAAAGAAATGCTGTAATCATACATTGATTTTAAATGACCCTGTCACACGTGAAAACAAATCAGATTGTTGCTCTTAATGAGCTTTTCAATTTACTATTCAGTAGATCAGATAAGTGGATTTAAGAGGTAATGATCCTGTTTAGTACTCAAGCTTGACTGTCAGATCCTAGTAGTGGAGAGAAATCCCCAAGGACAAAAGCGTTGACACAGTTCTAGATGGGATAATGGGAATCAAAGCTAATGGATGATAAAAGGAATGGTGCAAGTTACAAGGATAATTGTGGATTAAAGCACTGCCATGTGTCAATGTTGACTGTTTTTTCTAGTATATTATTGGGTCAAATCTGATGCTTTGAGAAACTGTTTTGACAGCAGAGCACAACAGACCTGCTTTCCTAGCTTCTTCCTCTCTTGAATGCTAGGAACACAATAGGAAAACTTTTCCTTATAGGAACCATCAATTTAAAAGATACATTTTTAATGTTAAATGTTAAAAATCACATTTTAGTTACTGTATTTTTATTATTCAATGTAGCATGATTAAAATAAAAATTAGATTAATTCTGAGTTTTGTACTTGTAAACTCCTGAAAATGTAAAATTTGATTCTACAAAAGTACAAAATAGTCATCATGTTGTCCAAAACAAGAAAATTATCCAGGAGAGATCAGAGAAAGAAAGAGATAAATACAACAAAAATAAAATGGGCGAGTTGAGGTAATACCTGGTCACGTCCTTTCTAAAACCAGTATGTCAGAACATGGAATTTATGATTAATTATATTTATTTATAAAAATAATCTTACATACCATTTGTGCTTTGAGATGTAGTAGAGCTAGTTTAAACATACCTGTTTATGCTTTCATCTTTGTAAGTGAAAACGCCTTTAAAATTCCGATCAGAGTTGAGGGCATACTCTGTGGCCCTGGAACACAGCAAAGTGGGCAGAGCAGGGCAGAAAACAGGGTATTAGGTCCCTACTGTTACCTGATTTTATAAACTAGGCCTATTTGAAAGATTAAGGGTGCTACTAAAATAAAGTTTCAAGACAATTACTATAATCAACTACTAGATATAAGTTAAAAATAATAATACAAGCTTCTCTCTATAACTGCTTTTCTTTTTCTGTTGTAATTCATGATTCTATGTCTTTTGTCCATGGAATCCAATATATGCTTAAAAGGAAAAAAATCTTCATTTTTTTATTGTTTGCATAATTTTCACATTATGTTATAGTCCTAGTGGATCCAAACCATGACTTTTGCCATTATACATTAAACACACATGTAGTATTCACTTGACAAATGTTGCCTTAGGTGCTGGAACACAAAGAATAAGGCACAGTATCATTCCTCAAGAAGCTCTCAGTGTAGTAGGGGAGATAGACACCCAAACAATTACAATGTGAAAAGCACCATGATAGAGGAATGGACCAGGCATTGTGGGAACATAAAGGAGAGTGCAATTTGCTGTGCCTGGGAAGGCAAGGAAGGCTTCAGAGGAGGGAACTTTCGAATGAGGGGAAGAAGAAGGCTGATTCATGCAAAATGAACAACATGTGAACACATAGAAATCTGAAATTGCATGAGAAGCCTCAGTAATCCATCAGTATTTTATTGTGGGTTGAGATTGAGGGAAATGGTGGAAGATAATGTAGGTTGGGGCCAAATTGTGACAGGCTTTGTGTGCCATTAATCATATCAATATCAGATTTTCCAAGAGACCCAATTATTTTTTTCTTTTTTCTTTTTTTTTCTTTTTTTTTGAGGCGAGGGAGAGACAAATTGCCAGCAAAGGAGGAAAATGGCAGACTATCAACGTAAGCAGAAATACAGTGCTTTTAAAGGGAGGGCCCTCAGTTCTAGGCTATTGTCATTAATGATTCTAATCATCCCATCTCTTCCAAAGAAAGAGCTTTGACCTTCACCCACCTGGGAAGCCCACCAAGACCTCTGGCACCAGGCCTGCACAGTTTAGCTAAGCTATCTCCTGCAGCACAAAAAGCAAAAAACATTCTCCTGCCCTTCCTAACCACCTGCCCGAAGCAGGAATGCAGGTCTCAGTTCCCAGAAAGAGTGGGGGAAGTTTTAAAGAGACAGAAAACATCTTTTGCCATTTTTTTTCCAGGCCATTCCCTGTATTACATATTCCCCACTCTCAATTATAGGCTTCCATAGCTATGGGAGGAGGGGCAATGTAATCCTCAGTCTACTTCCTGCTGAATTGGGACAATGTTTCAGATGGAAGATTTTATACTTTTGTGTGTCATTATAAAGCTTTGACAGTATATTTACAACAGCACGTTACCAGGCAAAAAAAGTTATAAGCCACAACAACAATAGTGAGGATTGACAAGGTGAAATGGACTGTCACCTTGTACATAATGTCCAATATAGGACTGGGTTAGAAAAGAAACATGGGACCTTGAGTGTGGAGCTATTAGTTGCACTTCATAGGTGATCTGAGAGACCAGCTTTTGTAAATTCAGAAATCATATACAGCACCAAACACGGTTTAGGATGACAAACCCAGCAGCAAGACAGATTAACAGAAGAGGCAATAGCCTGAAGAAATCTTCACTGAGGAGCTGTCTCTCCATCCAAACAAACAAATTGCCATGGCATCTGGACACTTCCCAAATTCGTTTCCTTCCCCTCACCTCGGTTCAGGTTGCAGGGAGTTGCATCTACTTTGGGGAGACAGAGCTGGGAGTTCTTCAGGCCTAAAACAGGCTCTGGCAGCTGCCGAGACCATCCTGTACTCTCACCCCAAAAAGAAGCTACTCCTCCCAGCGAAGAGCCACAGGTTGGCCCAGGGCTACTCCCCTGCTTTGGTGGTGCCATTTCACCAGGGTGCCCATGGCCCCACCCAGGGATGCCAAAATCTGTTACCAGAAGCATCAGAAGAACGAGGACAAGTGGTTGAGGAGAAGGAAGAAGAAATTTATTACTTTGCCAGCAAAGGAGGAAAATGACAGACTATCATCTCAAAGCCCAAGTTCCTCCCAATTCAAATACTGTTATACATGAGAGAGGTTTTGGATGATGGTGAGCTAAGGGAAAGTTCCCATTCTACATACTGTTCTTTATTTGAGCCTTCTATGTGTTTAAAAGTTTCTGGTTATTGAGGACTGATGATAAGTCACTTCTCTAAGTTCTCTCTACTTAGCTCCTTCTTCCCTCAAACATCTTATAAGCCACAGTGATAACTTGATAACTTTAATCTTGTAAGAGTTGAAGGCCTACTCTCAGGGGCAAAGTCACAGATATATAGCCATTGAAATGCTTTTTTCTGTAGGGCTCAGGAGTTAGCAGAAGAATCAGCAGGAATTTGAATTCCAATCTTCTTTTCTCTCCCCACCAGCTTCTCCTCTCCACCATTCTGCCCCCCACTTTCTTTCTCTCACCCTCTACATCCAACCCCTCCTCTCTCTCTCTCTTTTTCTCTCCCTTTGATTCACTCTATCAGCCTGAGGAGGAGCCTTCCAGACATAGGAGACTCAGTTTAAAAGCCTGGAACACAAGCTTCTGGTTTGAATGGTGTTTAAAATCCAAATATGAGATTTCTGCAGTGAATAGCTTTCCTCCCTTGTATGGCCCTATAACTGGGTGATTTGTGGTACCCCTATGGTTTTAATCTTATGACCTGTGGCAGTATATCAAGCTGGTGTTTAGATATAAAAAACAAAAGGCAGAGGGAGTACAAGCTAAGTTTCCCTACATAGGAAATTAGGCAGATCAGGAGAAAGTGAGAGGACACAATCACAGGGGATCAAATCACAGAAGAGAAATCCCATACAGCTGGTGTCTGGCAGGGATAACCTGGAATCACACCAGAGCATCAGGGAGTATGGAGGTGTCAACCCACCTCTCAGCTTTGCCAGGCTAGTAGGTAATATTCCATTGGCTGCCAGTGGCATTTTCCCACTTAAAGTGGGATATGTGTTTATAAGCTCAATGTGGCTTGGATTGAGACTGAAATGTTGCACACCAAACTCTGCAACCAACACTCCCTAATTGGAAGCTTAGTGGATTCCCAGGCCCTGATGTTTTCAACAGAGAATCCCGGAGCTTGGGATTTCATTTTCAGCATGAAAAGTAAGACTTACCTCTATATTTGGGGAAGCTTAAGAGTTAGGTGATATTTGAGGAGAATTTCTATAAATTCCTTAACTTCTTTGATTTTTTTAAATCCTTATTTTAATAACTACCTTAAGTAGTCCTGAAATAGTTGATATTTTGCCGAAATCTGGAATAGATGGAAATTTTTTAAATGTTGGAGCCTTTTGTTGAGGTACTCTACTTTCTAAGCCTTTGCATACCTACTCCCGTCTTCAAGAAAGGGGTGGTTTACCACTTGGAGAAAAAAAAAATTATGTGATATGAGTAAAATGGGTGTGTGGATATGTAAGTGTGTATGTATATTTCAAAACAGGAGAGATACTTCCTGGAGTAAAACCTTAGCAAATTTTAAAATTATAAAGTTTTTTTAAAAATCCTTCCTTTACTCTCACCACCCACTCCCTACTTTAGTGTGATTACAACAATGCATTAAATTTTACATTTGTTGAATTCGAATAGTCTTTCGAAAATGTATGTTAACGATAAAGCTTTTAACAATGAAATGTTCTCATGCAGGTATATGCCCGTATGTCAGAAGTCTTAGGAATAACAGATGACAACCACGTTCTAGAAACATTCATGACAAAAATGTAAGTTCCTATTTTGGTCTTTAAATTTTCTTTTGTTATTGTTTTAAATCTAATAGATCTTTTTACTGTATTTAATCTTTTTGTAGATATTAATTTTTAATAAAAGTATTTTTAAATTATGCTTTAATTCTTAGAATGTTATCACTGTTCTTAATTGAAACTTAATTTCACATATTGAAAACTCACCATCCAACAGACATTGTAATTTGTCAAGTTTCCATACAACTGCAGTGAGCAGCATCAGAACATGGTTTAAAAGGATTAACAGACCTTGACTCTTCAGGTCAGTTGGACAGCATTTTTTTTTAATTAAAAAGAAAACACCAATTTCAAAGACCAACTGAAGAGATTATTACAAATTGGAATCACTGAGAGAGGTCTGATTGCCTTAAGACAGGGCATTCATTAGTTCCAACAGGAACCTATGGCTATCAGAGATACATTCATGGAAACTGTCCTTAAATTTTACTTACAATATTAGCAGAATTAACCAGTTTCTAGTCATAGACATAACTGTGTACACTTAGGCTAAACTTGTATGCCTCCATTTGGCACCCCACTTTATCTGTGTAACAGATAGACAGCACTCTCTTGCTTGCAGAGAACAAAGCTAGATAAACAATCATGATCATAAGAAGTGAGTTTTGGAGCCACGATTTGAGGTTCATTTTTTGGCTGTAACTGTGAGCCTTTATTCAACTCCCTTTGTGACTCCTGCTTTCACTCCCTAATATGTTTGTTTTGGATACAAACTTAATGTTTCTTCCTTGAAACTCTTAGGCAACTGTTTAATTCACAAAACTAAATGTATAGAATTATAGACCATTTGGAGAGCAATGTTCGTTGTAGATTGGTTGCATATATTTTTGAATGTGCTATAAAAAGAATAGAATAGAAAATGTTTTTGAACTGCTTTTCACTTTGTGAGATATTTGTGATTTAGGTCATCAAACTTACATAAGTTTATGTGTATTTCTCTGGTTCTTCCTGTACAAGCAAATATCTTACTTACAATTAAAGACTTTTTTTTTCATATTTAGTGTTACAAACCTTAAATACTGGGGAAGATGTGAGCCTGTAATTTCAAGGACTCTTCAGTTCCTAAATGACCTTTCTGTTGGATATCCTTTTCACTGTATATCTGATATTACATATATAAACAACCTAACAAGTACATTCTATTAGCCAGATATTTTCCTTGTTTATCATTTTTGCAAGTTCCTTTTTAAAATAAGGCTTTTCATTTAGCCTTATTTGTAAATGTATGGTTTTGAAAGGTTTTTATTAGCTGCATACTATGAAGCATTTAGTCAGAGTCAGAATTGAATGTGTATGGATATATAGATTCCTAACTAAAGTCATATTTATAGTCACTCAGTTTAATAAATAGTTACATAAGAAAAGTATGCAACCATCTCTTCTGGGTCTTCTTTATCAGGAAAAAAACAAAACGTATGCAATCACATGTGTTTTACTTCATGGTTTTTCATAGTTGTCAGAAATTCTTATTCTAAAAAAAGCATGTAACTAATTTTAAGGAGGTCAAAATGTTCTGAAAATATTACCGTATAAAAACTGAATTTCTATGAGTAAATATATTTCTAATATTTTTCAGTTGAAAAGAACATCATTTTCATTACTTGAGAGGCACAAAGCAATAATAGTAAGAAAATAATAAGCTTTTTGACTACTTCTTTGATTATTGGCCCCACCAGTCAACATCTAATTTACTCTAAAATAAGATTTCCCATTATATGTTAAATGTTTAGATTTATCTCTCTAGCAGATATTTTAAAATCTAAAACTAGGAATTATCCTCTCTTACTAGATTATAGTTGATACTGTTGTCATATTTCTACCAGTGAGAGAGAACCATGTAGATTGTCATTTATATGTTAACTATCAAATATATAGGTATTGTGAAAGATAAGTGTTGATTTAGTTAAGCCCTAAGATTAGCTGGTATTTTAATATTAGGACAAATTCTGAAAATGGGTGGCATTGAATGGAAGCCTTTAATGTAGGTTCATTCCAGGAATATGTTTGTATTAGTTAAGTTTAAAATTGTATTCCTTGGTAAACCATAAAAGATTTCCAAAGTATTAGACACCCACTTTTGTGCTGGAATTTAATATGCAACTTTTTATTGGAAAATAATCGTCCTTGTCTGGCAAAATCCACCATGCAATATTTCTGTTAGTAGGTATAATGCAATAAAGACAGGGAGGGCTATTTATCACTACAAATTTTGAGGATTTCAGGATTCTTTTTATTATTTTAATATATTTCTTTGATATTAAATCAGAAAAATGAGCAGAGGGAGTACAAGCTAAGTTTCCCTACATAGGAAA